GGACACTTTACCTACTTTGGCCACCAGCCAGCCTCCTATTCATCTGTCAAACTCCAGACTGCATGTTACCCCTGCCCGAGGAAGCCTATCTTAAGTTCTTCGACAGAGCTAGTTTCTCCACCTGTGGCTTTTCTAGTAAGTCCTTGTGTGGTGCTGTAGGACAAGCACTGGACCGCAAGGTCTGTTTGAACCGTAAGGTCAGCTTTGAGTCAGAACTGACTCCACAGCACTCAAAACCAACACTGCTTGAAAGCAAGAACAGTATCTTCCTGTCTAAAGCCATATAAACTGGGTATAGACCCTGGGTGTGGAGACCTTATGCAAGCCACTTAACCTCTCTGTTCCTCATTTTGCTCATCTGTACAACAGGAATAATAATGGCACCTACAGCCTGAGCCGGTTGTGGTCCTTTAATGAGAAGGAACATGACGTGTTTAGCACAAGGCTAGGTATCTATTGCAAAGTCATTAATATTACTTGTTATTTATAGTGCTAGGCCTTGGCATTCTATGGGGTAGGTGTTCATTCAGTGTTTATGGAAGAAAAGCTAAAGGGAGTCAATGGGAAAAGAGAAACAGACCAACCACCTGCAGGGTCCATCTCTAAAGAGCACAGACAGCCAGATACTTTTGAGATGTGGCTGTCACACGGTTTTTCTGAGTACATGCCGTCCCTTCTCAGACCAAGACTTGGTACTTACATGAGAAGATTAAAAAAGTTAGTGGAAAATGAAATGAAAAGATCATGGAATTTTTCCATGAAGTTTTGAATCCCCTGGTATTTCTAACCCCCCAAATTTAATCCCATCTACTACATTTCTCCCAACTCTGCAGCTCCAACTGCCTCACCTGTCTGACCTCTACCTGTTCTGAATTACACCTGTGTCAGGATGAAGCCTGGCAGTGAGGACTGGCCCCACCCTCACTCAAAGAAAACCTACCCTAATCTCCTAATCTGGCTCACCTAGCAGCAAATCCATTCAGGTGTGACCATTTCCCTATTGCTGGGACTGGAAGAGGCCACAGCAGTCACCCACCTGATGTGAGACAGGTGAGGACTGCAAGGTATTGTCCCAAGGTATCCTGTGCACCAGTTGCTATGTGAAGTACTCTGTGATCATCCTCACAGCAATCTTAGGCTCTGGATACCAGTGCTGTCTTCCTTTGACAGGAAAAGAGATGAGGCTTCCAAGGGCTAGACCTCTGCTGTCTAATAACTGCGGAGCACTTGAAAGGTGATGAGTCTGAGTTGAAGCCTGCTGATGCCAACACTTCTCCCTCGGGTGTCAGGACCTGAACATATAAGTATATACCTGGGTGGGACTTCTGGAAAAAAAGGATATGTTCCTTCCATTCTCTATGTGTGTATGTATGTGAGGACATCCCGGGAGTGTTGTTGTTTTATGGTAAAAGAAACTAAACTTTAGAGAACATTCATAGTATCTCAGGTTCTCTCCCTGCAAGTAGCAGGGATTGATTCTAAAGACTGATTCCAAAAACAAGCTTCTTCATCCACCCTCTCTGGGGACTCCCAGACCTCATGAGCCTAGAAGGAGCCTGGACTCAGAGAACTGGACACTGGTTTGAAATCTGATTCCTGGGTGGTGATGACCAGGTACCATCTTACAGGATTTAAGGCCCTCCTGGAAATGGAATGATGCCAGTTAAAGAGAAGGCAAGAGTTCCTTCACTAACGTGAAGGAAGGCTCTTAACAATTGCCTGACTCTAACCCCCATTTCACAGATGAGGAAACGAGGCTTCAGATGCTTATACCATTTATCCCAGGTCACACAGCTAAAGGCTGAACCTAGGCATCTGGGTCAATGTCTGCTTTTTTTTTCCTGTCAGTATTTCCTGTATTCTCTTTGAATCTGAGTTTGTTTTCTGTTTCCTACCTTTCTCTTGAGTTGCACTAATGGCCTTCACCTCCGTCTACCATATATCTCCTCAAATGCTGGACCATTTCCATTTTCTGGACCCTTTCCATTTCTGTGTCCATCAGCTTCAGGTCTAGACTTCTGTTTGTCTATTAGCACAAGCCCAATGAACATTTGTGTGCTCATTTACTGAAGCTAAATTCTGGAGTACAGTCTACTGTACTCCAGAATTTGAACATCTTGTTGCCATTACCAATTTTCCCGATACTATTGTCTGTTTGTAAACAGTACCTATATCTCACTCAGCTCAAAGAGACAAATGAAGGTGAGAGCTGAGATCTTCAGATTTGGGTTTTATGTATGATTCTATAAGTTTAATATAGGAAAAAAAATTCAGATGCTAACCTAAATGGTGGTGTTTCGAGTCTACCCAGTGGCCCCACAAAAGAAAGGCTTTCCCTCCATTAAGATTAACACCTGAGAAAACCCTACTACACTGTAACACATGTGCTCACCACAAGTCAGACTCTACTTGACGGCAACCACTACCAGCAACAATCTTTACAGAAGCAAATCACCAGGCCTTTCTTCAGAGGAGCTTCTGGGTGGGTTAGAACCGCCAACTTTATGTCAGTAGTCAACTGCAAAATGTTTGTGTTACCCAAAGACCTATATATATATTTTTTCTAAATAAGTTTTTATTGTGAATTGAGTGATAGTTTACATGGGAGAGTATCATTTTTACATTCATCCTACCGAATTTCATTTCATTGCAATGATTTCAATCCCCTCCATGCATCATGCATCATCATTCAACAGCATTTGCTTCCAATCCCTCTGTTTTTGTTTGTTTTTTTTTTTGGATGTACACCACAGCACTCAGGGATATATAACCATTCAAACAATCAAAGGGTACACCTGGCAAGCCTGCTCCTCAGCCATCAGCACATAACCCCTCTCCCTCCTTGAGTCTAGAATCCCCAGCCACTCCATCGCTCCACATCATTGTCTCTGCCTCCATCTCTGGCATCGCTGCTCCTCTGGGATAAGGTCCTGCACTCTGCTCTTCTCCCTTGATGGTCCCAGGGTCCTCCACTCTGGGATTGCAAGATCAACCACTCCCTTCCTTTTGTTACAAAATGTCTACCTTTACATTTGCAGCATTCACAATCAGTTCTGAGAGCAATTATTCACTATTGAACCACAAGAGTCGTATCCCCATTTCCTTTTACCAGTCCCATCTAGACAAGTTCGAAACCACTCAGTGAAGATTCTACCTTCCCCCGCACCCTCTGAAACTAAGCTCCCTCTTGAAAGCTTGTAAGCCAGTCACTTCATGCCTTTTTTTGCCACCCCCCTTTTGGGTAGCCAGTGTCTAAGTTGCCCATCCCTGTCAACCCTGTGTACAGAGGGGGTGGGAATGATTCTTGCTGTAAAGATTCGTTACGTCTTTTAAACTACTACATCCATAAGTATAAGTCAAGTTCATCAAATTATAGTGGATTACACTCCTTTTCCTCTCTTTCTTCCTCTAGTCAAATTCTGATCATCCAGCCATTGAAGCTAGGTAAAATGGGTACTATCTGCAAGTGTGGGCATTCTTGTGCATCTCCCCTCACTTCACATCAGCTAGATGCTTCACTCTCCACTCTAGTTCTCTCGGACTATGTCCCTGTCCATGGGCTCAGGAGTCCCCAGGTCCTGCTATACTGCTGGCTACCCAGGTTGAAATCCAAGTTGACAGGAGTCTATTGAATGTGTTTGGACTTAGCTCACACCTTCATTGTTTTTTCCCCCACTTCCCCTTATCGGTAGACCAATGTGGTCACCAGCAAGATTACATGTCTGCTCATGTATTCCTTTTGTGTTTCAGTCTTGGAAGGGGGTTTTCTCTGAGGGGACTTGATTGTTTACCTTGATGGCTTCCTGGTGAACAACTTGCTTGTTCTTGTAGTAGTCAATCAGACTGCCATTATTGTTTTTGATTGTTCCTGCTGATCTTTCAAAAAGTATCTTCTGTTCCTCTAGCTGCTCCAGGCTGTCTTTTCAAGTGGAAATTTCCCACCTCAGAAGATTCTGGATGGGGATCAGGATTCCACCTAGGGTCTTATGCAATGAAAAGGCTCCGTAGGAAGCTTCTTTCAATGGGCAAGTTCTAGCCCCATTTTAGCTATTCCAATCAGTTATAACCAAAGGGCTATTTTAATAGCCCATGGTTGTGTGCCATACAGTTGATGTCAACTTATAGCAATGTTATAGGACAAAGTAGAACTGCCCCATAGGGTTTCCTGGGTTGTATGCTTAGTGGAAGTAGATTTAAACAACATAAAGGAGGTAAGATAGAACATTTTCTAGCCAGATGCTCAGAGTGCTTTAGGAATTCCACCTGTGTCTTTTATAGGTAACTAAGGACTTGAGGATACTTCTTTCCTGATGAAATGAGAAATGGTAACTGTGGGGTCAGCCAGGAACACTAAACTCAATGACCACCAGTGGGACATGTGACCCCTTGTTCCGTGCCTGAGACAGCATTAATGTGACCAAGGAGATTGGCTGAAGGGAAGGTGCTAGGAGAGGTAGGGAAGATGGTAACAGTCCTGCACATTCTCATTCAGGTAAAGACTAGACCTGAACTGGAATCCATCATGACCTCCTAGGAGCCTTGACCACATGTTCATTGGGATTTCTTGGGAAAGTGTTGTGGTGTTTGTTATTAAGTGCTGACGAGTTGGTTTCTACTCATAGCAACCCTGTATTGACTTTCCAAGGACTAACTGGTAAATTTGAATCGCTGACCTTGCTCAAAGTAATCTTGTGGTTCAAACTGACCTTGCAGTCCAGTGCTTATTCTACAGTATTACAGTTGAAATTTGTTTATACACACATCAGTGTGAGCTTGCTCAGTGATCTAAGGTTACAAATATTGGCAAATCCTATCAAAGTACTGACTAAAAGGCATACACCATGAATTCAAGGTGATAAATTGGAACATTACACTTTAATTCTTGGTCAATAGTTCAGATTATGATTACAAAACTGCTCAAGTCTGCCTTTAAAAGTTCTGCAGTCCAGTCTGACCCTGTAGTTCTGCAGCCTGACTATCCCGGCCTTGTTCCCCACAGGATGGGTTTGCTCCTGCCCCTGGTGCTCTGTGTCCTAGTTTCTTGCTGTGGCGCCAGGTCTGTACCTGCGCAGACCTTAGGCCCCTTACGTCTCCTTTCTCGGGGCTGCAATGACTCGGATGTGCTGGCTGTTGCAGACTTTGCCCTGCAGGACATCAACAAGGACAGAAAAGATGGCTACGTGCTAAGCCTCAATCGAGTCAGCGATGTCTGGGAATACAGAGAGGCAAGTGGGGTCCCTCTGGAGCATGTGTCTGCAGAAGCTGTACAAGGGGTGGGACACAGAGTGGCAAGTGGTTGCCAGATTGTAAACCCAGGAGAGAAAGTACTGTTGTACCTTGCCACATGTGTTAAAATGCTTCTGTTGTTATTAAGAATAAGGACTACCCAGGACAATAACACTTGTCCAGTATTTAGTCACTCTCATAGACTCTTCAAAGCTTTGAAGGGTCCTTTGGCTCTGCCATCAAGCAGGTTTTCAGGGGCTTCTGTTTCATGGAGGATGCGGTGCATTTCTTCACTCTGTCCCACAGGATGAGCCAGGATCCCTGTACTATCTCACTCTGGATGTGTTGGAGACCTCCTGCCATGTGCTCACCAAGAAGTCATGGAAGGACTGTGGTAAGAGGCTCCTGCATGAATCGGTAAGTTCTGGTTCTCTGTGGCTCTAGAGAGAGAAGCTAGATTGTCCTCTTCCTATGGAGTGAAGCTTGCTCAGTGTTTGTTATCATTTCAGTGTGTCTCCTCAGAATCTCATTATAATCTAGTCAGAGTGACTATGTGGTTCTAATGCCATAGAGAGAACAAAGTGCCACAAAATAGAGGGAATTCTAAATTCCCACTGTAGTCACAGAGATCCAAATTGCAGTTATCCAAAAATTGTTTGGTGAATCCAACTCATCTACCTCCAGGATCCTTCAGCAGACTTCTGATGAGCATTTAAAATGTGAAAAGGGATCTAAGGAGAAGAAGTGAATGTGTATTTAAGGTGTGTTTAAGACTGGTGTGGTGTGTAGGATAAGCACTGGACTGCCAACCACAAGGTCAGCAGTTCAAACCCACCAGCCACCACTCCTCAGAAACTCTATACAGGTTTACTGTAAGTTGGAACCGATTCAATGGCACTTAACAACAACAACAGTAGAAACTCTGGTAGTGCTGTAGGATTAGCACTGGACTACTAAACACAAGGTTAGTGGTTGAAATCCAACAGCCACTCTGTGGGAGAAAGATAAGGCTGCTGTAAAGATTTATAGCCTTGGAAACCCTATACAGGGTCACCATGAGTTGGAATTGACTCAATGGCACTTAACAAGCAACAGTAGACACAATGGTGGTGGTGGTGGTGGTTATGTGCCATGGAGAGGGTTCTGACTCGTGGCGACCCTGCATAGGGTCTCCAAGGCTGTAACACTTTATGGAGCAGAAAGCCTCCTCTTTCTCCAGTGAAATGACTGGTAGTTTCAAACTGCTGACCTTTAGGTGACCAGCTGGACTCATAACCACTATGCTACCAGAGCTCCGTAGAAACAGTGGAAGGAGAGCTTTTCATTTTGTGTTGTTTTATTGTAATAAATCTGGGGTAAGATCACAGTTTGGGAGCTCCATGAGTTGCATGAAAGAAAATTACTTTCCTAAATCACAGAATCAAAAGTATCTCAAGAAGGATTATTTTAAGATGAGTCTAAAAGATGCTTGAAAACACTATTCAACTATCCTGAGCTTATTTTTGTTGGCTGATATGAAACTTTAGAAGATGGGTCCCAGATGCTGATTAAAGTGTTTACAAGTAAACTATTTGACCAAGATGTCTTCTTCTAGTCATTGAACCAAATTTGTCAAATTGTACAGTTCTGATTTTGAAAAGCAGTCTATATACCCTCTTGAGAATGATATTTCTTAAGGTGGAAACGAATTACAAATTTAAATGCTGCATAATGAGTAACAAACTAAAAGTTGTGTAATGAAGCCATCATGAAAGAGGTTTATTTCTCACTCAAATTTCAAAATAAGAGTTCCTGACCAGGAGCTAACCTTCCCTTCAAGGGATGATTTGGAGATACAGATTCCTTGCACCTTTGGCTTTATCTAGACTCTGCCACCCTCATGTGGCCCTTATGAGTGCATGCTTATCTGCCTCAAGCTATGAAAGAGAGTGAGCAGAGAGAATAGATAACACATGGGAGACCTTCATGAGCCAGACATGAAATGGTACCCATCACTTCTGCTCATCTTCCTTTGGTCAGAACTCAGTTTTGCTACGTCACACCTAACTGTGAGGAAGACTGGAGGTATAGTCTACCTGCGTCACAGGAATGAAGATGAAACAAGCTTGATGATCAGTTATCATTTTCTCCCATCCAAAATTAGGTCTTAAATTTTAGCTGACTTAAAAAAAAAAATCTCCAAATTTCATTTGTTTCTTATTTTAAAAACCCACTGACAAAAATATGTTTGTTTGATTCCAGGTTTATGGTCAATGCAAAGCAATGTTTTATATTAATAAACCAAGAAGAGTTCTCTATTTGCTTGCCTATAACTGTACACTTCGCCCAGGTAAGAGATCACTTTGATTCAGTTCACTTTGATAAATGATGGAGAAAATCCATTGAGCAGGACTATGACAAGAGTATATAGGTTTTCTCTCAAATTTATCCCAGGTCAAATTCTTAATATTTTCAATATTATCCTCCCATCTGAAATTCATCCTATACTACTCTGCTTCTCACAGTTAATCTTCCCAAATAATCTTCAAAATCCCCATGTGTTCCTCATCAAACCCTAAATTTTTAGTCAGTCATAATGACTTAGTGTCTGCAAATGGTCCCCAGACTCCCTTTCTAGCTCTATCTGCCATTATTTTCCTGTCTACACCAAGTCTACATCCCATTCAATGGATGCTTCACTATTTTCTGAACATTTATCAGAATCTTCAATCTTTACATCTGAGTTAGTCCTGGTGTGTGCTGTACGATAAGTGTGGGACTGCAAAGTTGGTTTGAACCACAAGGTCAGTGGTTCAAACTCACCATTCGCTCCTTGGAAATCCTATACAGGGTTGCTATGAGTCGGAACCAACTTGATGGCACTTAATAACAACAACAATCTTGTAAGGCACTCAGTCTGTTTTACAGATGCAATGATGATGGAAAATGCTGACCTCTTTGAGGAAAACAAAATCCTATCAGTATGCTCTGTGATGTTATCAATTTGAGGATTAGGGTTCACCTATCCTGGTATGGCACTGTGGGTTAATGTGCTGGACTGCAAAGTCAGTTTGAACCGCAAACTCGGTGGTTCAAGCTCACCAGTCGCTCCTCAGAAACCCTAACAGGGTTCCTATGAGTTGGAACTGACTCGATGGCACTTAATAACAGCAACAAGCCAAGCCATGGCATTTTCAATGGTTTCATGCGCATGTGAAAGTTCAACAATGAATGAGGAAGATGATCGAAGAATTGATGTATTTGAATTATGCTGTTGGAGAAGAATCTTACACATACCATGGACTTTCAGAAGAACAAACAAATATTTGTTGGAAGTACTACAACCAGAATGCTCCTTAGAAGCCAGGATGGTGAGATTTCATCTCTCATACTTTAGACATGTTATTAGGAAAGACCAGGCCCTGAAGAAGGACACCATGCTTGGTAAAGTCATTGAAAACGTGGAAGACCCCCAATGAAGTGTATTCATACAGTGGTAGCAACAATGGGCTCAAACACAACAACTGTGAGAATGGTTCAGGACTGGGCAATGTTTCCTTGTATTATGGTCATTGTGAGCCAGAATCAACTTGATGGCACTTAACAACAACGTGCTATTAAATAAAACTTCTAGTGTAAACAAACTTGAATAAGGTCAGCTATATTTGTTTTGATTTGAATTATGAAAATAACACATAGAAAAGTAACTTGCTGTCCAGAAATACTGCCTTTCTCACCCCATCCTTACCAACACTGTGTTAACTTTATTTTGTTCATCTTTGCTTTGTTGTGGTCATATGATTTGTAGGATTGAAACTCAGTAAGTAACTTTGTTTTTAAACGTGTCTCTTTTGACTTCAACAGTTTCACGAAGACAGATGAACACAATGTGCCCTGACTGCCCATTTCCCACTAAATTGTCAAGTTCTGAAGCTTTGCAAGCTGTCACTGAGAGTCTTGCAAAATTCAACAGTGAGAGCCCCTCAAAGCAGTATTCTTTTGTCAAAATTACCAGATTTTCCCAGCAGGTATGTAGACTAAAATACCCAGACTACTTAACAAATAAGAAATGTCTCACACTGGTTGTTAGAGATTCTTAAACTAAGAATAGAATACCAAGGCTCTCTTCTTAATACTAGAAGACCCTTTTTCTCTATAGTCTCTTCTTGCTTGGCAGACCTGAAGTACATGATATCATGCTTTAGTTTCTGAGTTATTCTCTGGTATTTCCATAAGAGTCCTGAGATTCAATTGTACCTTCACTGGCTTTAGAGCAAGAAGGGTAACGAACTCATTGTCTCCGTGGGGTCTCTACTCAGGTCCACTATTTCCTGGTACATTCTTATATCTGGTTGACCACAAGATGACCATTTAGCAAATAAATTTTTGTTTCATATCTCATTAGTATTTGAATTGTGTTGTGATCTCTATCAAATGGAGAAAAATGTATCCAAAAAACAATTCTAGTGAAGGTAGGAAAAAAAAAAAAAAAAGAACTCCCAAAGGACAAGAATTTAAGGCCCATTCAAATTCTAAAAAAAGGAACAAATGATGATTATATTTTCTACTTAACAAATCATAAAACATCATTTGATCAGTGTGAAGACTTGCATGTGTTGAGCCTGATATTCGGTATACTTGGTTTCTATAAATACAGTGTCTCCAAACCTGGATCATGTCCCTGCATGGGAAGGTTTGATTATTTTTTTCTCTTTCAACTCTTGTTTCATAACAGTGGGTGTCTGGCCCTGGTTACTTTGTGGAATATTTGATTGAAGAGTCACCATGTACCAAATCCCAGGACAGCATCTGCACACTTCAGCTCTCTCACTCTGAGGTGAGTATTCCTGTGTGTCTTTTTAAGGGTTGTGTTCACAGACCATCTATAAATATTTGCAGAGCATCATTTATGTAAAAGGCATGGCAAAGCTTGAGATATTTTTTTGTTGCAACAAGGAGCTTACTGACTAGTTAGAGAAAAGGCAGGCCCAAATGTTATAAATCAAAGCCTTTATTCAACAATGTGATGCACTGCCAAAAATGACCACAGGAGATGGTAAAAATACAAACTGAATCTCTGCAGTGGAGAGTGATGGTCCTTCTTTGGTCTTAGCAAATTCTGTTATATTTGGAATACAGTATGGTGTTCCATTCCAGGAACTACCTTTTAAGAATGACAAAGATAAAGAACCCTTTATTCAAAGGAATGTATCCAAGATGGGAAGGAGACCTTGAAACCTTCGGAAGCACACAAAATAGAAATCTAAATGGCACAGTGTGTTTAAATGCAATTGGGCATAATATGTTGAAAACCTTTCTTTCCCTTATTAACAGGCTTATTAAGATACAATTCACAAACCATAAAACTCACTCTTCTAAGTTACAAAATTCGGAGTCCTGGTGTGGGGCTCTAAGGGAAGTACTGAATTAGTAAGAACAAAGTAGGTGGTTCAAACCCACCAGATGCTCCTCAGAAACGCTATACATGGTCATTATGAGTAGAGTTGATGGCACATAACAACAACAATGATAACAACAACAACAGAAATGGAGTTTCTTTCTGGAATGATGAAAAAAATCTAAAATTAGATAGATGATGATGCCACTCTGTAAGTAGGCTTTGTTGTTTGGTGCCATCCAGTTGGTTCTGACTTATAGAGATTTTATGTACAAAACAATGACACACTGCCTGGTCCTGTGTCATCCTCACAACTGTTGCTATGTGGCTGCCACTGTGTCAGTCAATCTCACTGAGGATCTTCCCAGACCGAAAAAAAACACACACTAAAATTTGTAACTTCTCATTGTTGTTGTTAAGTGTCATCAAATTGGTTCCAACTCAGCAACCCTGTATAGAGTTTTCAAGGAGTGACTGGTGGATTTGGATCACCGATCTTGTGGTTAATAGTCCTGTGCTTTTCCTATAGAGCCACACCAGGACAATTGCTAATTTACTTTCTGTTATTTATGGCTTTACCTATTCTGAATATTACATATACAGTAAGTTAATTTATACAATGTGTGTTTTTTTTTGTATCATTTTTTAACTTTGAAGATTTTCAAAGTTCATCCATTATTTTTATTATTTTTTTAAAATTTAAGGTTTTTATTGTGGATTGAGTGAAAGTTTACAGGGCACATCATCAGTTTCATATTCAACAATTCATATAACTTGTTTCATTATATTCATTATAATCCCTCCCCCATATACCATCAATTAAAAGTATTTCTCTCTATCCACTTTAGCTTTTTTTAAAACACAAACAAAAAACCCACTCAGGCATATATAATAATTTACATTTCCAAAGGGCACATTCTGCAAGTCTGCTCCTGGCCACCAGTTCTTAGTCCTTCTCTTCTTAGTCCATGAATCTAGAGTCCTCAGCCACTCCCCATCTCC